TGACTGGCTCATCTCCTTCCCGAGACCCTTCTGTAAGGGGTGTCCCGTTACCTACAGATGGGCTTTGGGTCTCCTAGAGTAACTTTTTATAGTTTGTGTCTTTCTTTTTTTAAAGACAAAGCAAATATAGAACTTGTATCTCTTAAATGCAGCCATTATGTAATGGTGACTATGTTTGTGTTTTTCCTCCAGATTCTCCCTGGAAAAGAGACATGAATGTCTGCAATGATATTTCCTGACAAGAAGTTGATAGAAGAGAAGGGAAGGAAGTAACAGCTAGTAAGCAGAAATTGGACCAACTAGGATTTTGTATTTGTCACTTCCAACTAAGTCAGAGATACTATCAGCATTCAACCCAGACAAGGCAAAAGGATACTTTTCCTCTATAGTTTTTGAGATTAAAGATACTGCAATGTCCAGGAAACAAAGTCACAAGGGTAAGATTATATACGGCATACATTTTTAATTTTTAAAAGCCTTGTTTTGGAGCAATGGTTCTCAACTTTCCTGATGCCGTGACCCTTTCATACAGTTCCTCATGTTGTTGTGACCCCCCCAACCATAAAGTTATTTTCATTGCTACTTCGTAACTGTAATTTTGCTACTGTTAGGAACTGGATGACCCTTGTGAAAAGGTTGTATGACTCCCAAATGGGGCCACGGCCACAGGTTGAGAACCGCTGTTCTATGTATGAGTGTCATGCGGTTCTATTTTAAAACTTCTTTTAATGACTTGGAATAGTTTTACTTTACCTCACCTAGTGTTGTAGTTTTTCCTTTGTATTACATAGTAATTAATTTCAGAAGATTACAGAACACAACTTTCATTGTATCTTTAACTTTCTACGTTTTTTTTTTTGATATAAGATTACAGCTTTGACTAGACTACTAGAAAATCATAAAATTTCCAGGTGAGTCTGCAATGCAGTGCCCAATATTCATCTTAACAATTGCTTTTCAAATATTGGAAACTTTATTGAACCGAAGCGTACTTGCAGGAAAACCAAATTCATCTAGAAAGTGCACCTGTTGGAGATTAAGCGTATGTTGGGGTGATGGGTGAAGGAGGCTCGATAACCTACTGCAGGATATTCTTGATCCTGTGAGTTGACATCTCCTTGGAGACAGGAAATGGGGGAAGAGTGAATGTTTCCAGGTTTTGTGTCCTTTTTAAGCTTTAGCTTTCCTTCCAGGATTGTTGAAGTAAAATATAAGGTGTAGAGAGCCAGGAAATAAACAATACTGCCACAACTACTGTAAAAATCTGGAACATGTGTATTAAAAGACCCCCCCATACCTAGCTTGCTTCCCCGTGTGCCCCCCTCTCCCCCTTCCCCAGTCAGTCTTTAACGTCCCTGGAGGTAATCCCAAGTGTGGCTAGGGGTAAATGTTAACTGTCAGAAGCGGTAACCCAAAGCCAGATTCGGGAGTACACTGCAGAGATTACACTGCGATCTGACTTCCTCGTTCAGGTCCGTTCTCTGTCCGTTCTCTGTCCGTTCAGTGTCGCTGCATGGGGGCAGAACTGGGCGGGAAATTCAAAACTGCAAGTCTAAAAGAGACATTACACACACAAACAGTGATACAGTGTAACCTGTGAGGATTACATTGTATCAAAGCAAATCACCTCAGATTTGTCCCTAGATCAGTCTCCAGTGCCCTGCCTGCCCTTTTACTGTCATTTGGAAAAAATTTTGCCTGGAAATTTTTTGTCCATGGCATCAAAAAAGTGTCACTTTAGCACAAAAGGAGTTTTAGACCAGACAAATGACAGCGACAGTGACTTAGAATTACTCGCAGAATTGAGCGATAGCAGTTCATGAGGAAATTCATCATCTGACATTGACACTGATCAGATAAGTGACGACAGTAATGATTCCGCACCTGAACTCGGCGATGTGCGAACTTGGTGCTCTATTGTTTGCGGAACGGATCCGACAGCTCCCCCGAGATTCCCGTTGACTGGAGCACCTGGTGTGAAAGGAGACGTTGACCACAACGACCGTTTGGCGAACCTACAATTATTTCTGACCGATGAGGTCATTGAAAAAATTGTTCCGGAGACAAACCGGTACAAAGAGCAACAGTCCGCTACTCTGCTTCATAGGTTTTCACGAAGCAGAAAGTGGAACCAGTGACCAAAGATGACATTCAGAAATGTCTGGGCCTCATCATACTTCAGGGAGTGGTGGGGAAACCCTGCGGAGATGGTATTGGACCACCAATAAATTACTTGCAACTCCATTTTTCGGCACCGTCATGTCAGAATACAGATTTTCCCCGATTGTGAAATTTTTCACTTCACAAACAATGAAGAATTTGATGAAACTACTCATCCTGCACCAAAACTAAAGAAAATTTGGGAAGTATCTCAAATGATTGTAAAGAATTTTCAGCAGACTTATGTGCCAGAAAGAGACATCAGCATAGATGAAAGTTTAATGGCTTATAAGGGATGGATCAGCTGGATACAATAACACTGCATCAAAGAGAGCACGATTTGGCATAAAATCCTATATGCTCTGTGAATCGTCAACTGGCTACATTTGGAATTCGGTCATACACAGTGGAAAAGGCACAAAATGCAATCCAAAGTACAGCGACTATGGAATGGCAACATCTTCTGTTCTAACACTCATTGAGCCATTGCTAAATCAGGGCTATTGCGTTACAACTGTCATCTTTTATACATCCCCTGAACTTTATGAGTTTCTTATAAAAAACAAAACCGATGCCTATGGAACCGTCAGGGCTAACCGGCGTGACATGCCAGCAATATTTGGCAAGAAGAAGCTAAAAACGGGAGAAATGATTGCCTGGCAGAAAGGCAAGATGATGGCACTGCGATGGCGTGACAAGAAAGATGTGAGCCTGATGAGTACAGTTCATAGTACCGCAGCTGTTATGGAGCGCACGAAAGATGGGGAAGAAGTCATGAAGCCACAAGTAGTGATAGACTACAGTAAAACCAGGGGAGGTGTCCACAGAGCCGACCAAGCACTTACATTCTACCAGCAATGCGAAAACAGCAAACGAAATACTGCATACAAGAAGACAAAACCGTCAGGTATCTTCTCGAGCAATGCTTGTGGAATGCCTACATTTTGCACAGAGCAAAGAGTGACAAGCCTTTGGTTCATTCTGACTTCATTTGGAAAGTTGCTGAATGGATCTTTGTGAACCACCAGACACCATCAATGGCTGTGAATAGACCTGGAGATCGCGCTGTTGATGTCAACCCAGAACGCCTGACTGGTCGTCACTTCATGGACTATATCCCACCAACTGAAAAAAGTCAGCACCTACAAGGATGTGTGTGGTTTGTTGCTCAAAGCGAGCTGGCAGTGGACAGAGAATACGAAAGCAAGCCAGGTTCCATTGTCCTGATTGTGACGTCGGAGTTTGTGCAATCCCATGTTTCAAAATTTTTCACATCCAGGATTTTTATTGAATGCACCCTTGATGTTGTACTATTTTTGAAAAATTGCAGTGGCTTTTATATGATTGCATTGTTGAAAAAATTATATTATTTTTATAGTTATTATAATTCATGATTTTGTGTATTAAAGTTTATCATACCTGGAATGTCTACTAGAGAGATTAAAATGAGTAATTTCTTAAGAATTACAGGCCTACAATATAAAACAACAAATTTTATGCAAAACAATGTACCGCTTTGGGTACGATATTACTGACATAAATAAATCGCCAGGGAGGTTAAAATCATATGGTTTAAGTCAGAACAAAGCTATAATCCAGGTCTCCTGTTGAATATGAAGAAAATACTTTTAATTTTGATTTGACAATTTAAAATCTCAGTGATAAGAAAGTTATGTACCAGAGCTGCTTGTAATTTTTGAGAAGCCATAGTTTGATTGTGTGACAAATCTATATAAAGGAAACCTGAGAATGGTGACTGAACAGTAATTTTGGAAGGAAAATCCTGAGTAATACTTATTGACCCCACTTAAATCATGTGCCCACTCCCAAACCAATTGTTGTGGCCAGGGTGGTGGTGTTTTCTAATTTCTTAAATATTGAGGCCTTGGGTCATATGCCTACTCTTTTTAAACTTTTTATTGTGAATTGGGTGAAGGCTTACAGAGCAAATCCCTGTCATAAAACAGTCCATACACTTTATTTTATGTCATTGATTTTAATCATCACCTTGTAACCACTCATTCCACTTCCTCCATGTATTTCCTGTGTCCACTCCTCCTCCTCTCCTAATCCTTCTTGCTGTGTGAACTTTGTCCTTTGGCAAATGTTGCCCTGTGTGGCCACTCTTGAAGGTCGGGTTAGCATATCTGAAGGATGTGGAATGAGCTTCCCATGGGAAAGAAGGGTATTTTCTGTTACTAGAAAAAAGGGAGAGTAGAGGCCCCCTCAGGCACCTTTTAAGGATTTTGTGTATAAATAGGTTTGTTAATGTTCTTCAGTAGAAAATAGAAGTGGAACTGTTTTTTGGGGGTGCAGGTGGAAGTGGGGTGGAATTCCTTCATGGTACATGTAGAGGAGTACTGAAATGTTCTGTCCATTCATATATTTTTTAGCTTTTGTAATTCCATCTGTTCTAGACTATACTATCCAATATGATAGCCATGGCTGTTTAAGGTTCATTTAACTGAAATTAAATTTAGGAATATTTTCTCAGCCTCACTAGCCACATTTCTAGTGCTTAGTAGCCATACATGGCTAGTGGTTTTTGTTTTTGTACTAGACAGGACAAGTGTAAAGCATTTTAATCATTACAGAAAATACTATTGTATAGAGCTGAACTTGCTGTATTTAGGAAGGCAGGTAAGTATATACAATAGAAAAATTGTGTCACACCATGGGTATTATTTTTTAAATGAATACGCTTCTAGTTTGGAATTCTGTAATGTACCACACAAGTATAACTCAGTAATTTTTTTCTTCATTATGCTCTTTGTTTATTTAGCATATGCTCTAGGAAGTGACCCAGGTATTGTGCTAGGCCCTGGACTAGGGTGTCATTCAGCTCTCACTGAGCGCTGGTGGCATAGTAGTTACAAGTTGGGCTGCGATCCGAAAGGCCAGCAGTTTGAAACCACCAGCAGCTCCGAGGGAGAAAGACGACGGACCTTTTACTCCTGTGAAGAATTATTGTCATGGAGACCCACACGAGTTTTACCGTGTCCTACAGGGTCGCCATGAGTCAAAATTGACTCGATGGCAGTGAGTTTTCAGCTCACTATTTAAGTGTCATCTCCTTAGACAGACATTCCTTAGCCATGCTCCTCAAACTGTAGCCTCCTTTCCTCCACTATACACATGTGCAAGAGGTCTCTGTCATATATCCTGCTTATGTCTTTGGAATATGTCACTATGTAGAATTATCCTGTTGATGTTCTTATTTACTATTGATCACCTCCAACTAGACTGAAAAGTCTAGGAGAGCCACAATTTTCATCTG